GTATTATTTTGATTTTCATCACCTTTTGCTTTGTTAAGGGTAACTCATAATTTCTTTTAAATACTTTAGTACTTATATTTTATGATAGCTACCATTTGAGTTAATTTTCTTACTAGTCGTATAGTTGTACAATTTAGTAACATTGAGACTGATTTTCTCAAGACCAGATTTCCATACATCTTAACTTACAATGCTTGCATTTCTGGATCTACTTATCCTTAGAACGACCAAATTAAAGCTTATAATGTAAAGTTAAAATATGTTATCTCAATCTTTGATTTTTCCAACCATGTAACCTACTTGTGGTGGGACTTCACATAATAATTGGCACCAAATATATCAAGAGCTAAGGACAGATGGATGGCATAACAAATGATGGGGGAAAAAGGAATGGCTAATATATGCAAGCAATGGCAAAACATAACTGCAACGAAATTGAATTGAATATACCACTGAAGACCGTATACAAATCAAATCATAACCTCTATCATTAAAGATTTTCTGGTTAAAAAATAAATCTACTGTATTTCTCAAAGTATTTCTTCTGCATTTTGGTGACAGCAAACTGCTCTCCTTGTTGAATGGCCTTTTGACACAGTCTTTGTACTTCAGAATTTGCTCTGTATTTAAGACTCAAGTGATGAGAAAAATAAACCAGCAACATTGCAGCCTCCATTGGACAGGGGAAACTATGTTCCTGAAAGTAAAACCAGAGGTAGAGATGATAAGAGGTAATAAGGAAAAAATCATAACTGGGTCCTAAGTCTCCCACAACAGCAGGAGTTTACCGAAAATCAGGGGACAGCCTCCTGCAAGCAAGCAAGAATCTTCCGGAAAATAAAATCTCCTGGAAATTCAAAATACAGGCCTCCCTCTAATTAAAGACCACTCCTCTTAAACACCACCTCCAATAAAAGACCACTTTTCTATGGTCAAAGATGACAAATGTCGTTTATCGTCATTTATCTAATTAGACAAGAGACCATGGAAACTCTGGTGGAAAAGATGAGACCTATATTCTGCATGTTTTTACTACTTTTAATTATTGTCTCACAGAAGTCAGTGCCGATCGTATCACCATGCGCAGCAAAATAAAATTACATTTAACCAGATTTCCTGGAAGTAACGTCTTCCAACTTTGAACCCCTGCACTAAGGATTATGAAGCTTATATTAATGAGAAGAAGCTTTAATATGTTTATATTTATGACTGAATATTTTATTACATCAGACCTACCTTCATGTTATCTGGTATCCCTTCCAGTGCATCAAGAATTTTTGCTTGCTCTTTTGTTAGCATTGCCAATGTAACTGCAGGGTGTGCATACTTTTCATCCAGTGGGTAATCATCCCATTTTTCTGGCAGGTCATACCTTTTAATATCCTGTAGCACTATTTCAGTGTTCTGATTGGTAGACAAATTACTCTGTGATTCTGCATCAGCATTCTGATTGATGGACATATTACTCTTTAATTTAGATGTGTATAAGAGACAGTTTTCAATGTCTTTATTGCATGGATGCATCACCCAGCAATTATTATCCAGTTTCGTTTGTACAAAATGTATACTTCCGGTTATGTTGTTAAATATCATAGAATCTTTACCAGTTGTGTATATTTTGCAATCCATTTGCATTTGACATGGGCCTAAAAAAACACTGTTATGCAAACTCTAGAATGGAATGTATTACAATATTTATAATAGCATGCTCTGTGAAGCATAGTTGGGTAATTATTGAATATTCCAGTTTCATACAAAATGTATACCGATTATGTTGTTAAATATAGAATCTTTACCAGTTGTTATATTGTATAATCCATTTGCATTTGAAATGAGCCTAAGAAAGACTGTTATTCACAATAACAATATAATAATAATAATAATAATAATTTGAAATAGAGGGACCAAAAGAGAGGTTTTCAGAAATGGCACTCTCAGAATTTTTATTTATAACTTTGAAAAATTAGTGAGGAATTGAAATGTATTACCATATTGATAAAACATGTAAATGCGCGGGGGGGGGGGGGGGTCCCCCTACACACATTTAATTTCATGCAAATATTATGAACTTGCTAGAGATTCTTACCTGCTTGTGGGAGTACAGTACGGGAGGCCGTCCCAATTTCCAGGAAGACTAAATCTAATGATATTCGTAACCAAGAGATTAAATGATTTCATGATTTATATGTACTGTATAAAACTTCAGTGCTTCTGTATATAGTCTGTATAAATATAGTTCTAATCTTCAACTTCGCCTTCAACATCACCACCCACCATTGGTTGATGGCAAGAAGTCTGTACAGTGAGAGACCAGGTGGTGCAGTCAGCCGTTACTTACAATAATACCGTATGAAATAAAATGTTAAACCTGTTTGGCCAGTGCATTTCTGTGTATGCCACTATGTGTTTTTAAGACAAGACTTCTTAATTCAAAATTAAAACATTCAAGTTTAATAGCAACAAGTGCTTTATCTGGTACAGTTGTGCAGGTTGCTTTATAATTTATTTTGCCATTTTATATTCATTTATCGATGTGCAAAAAGTCCCACAAATTAACTTATACCAAACGTGACAAGATCTCTGAAGAGATGCTTTTTATAAGTAAATGATAGTGACTCCCAGACTTTGTATGCACAGCAGTCAACTTGGAATTCACCAATAACTACAGTATATTAGTTGATGGAAGTTTTTCCAACTGTTGGCATGACCCAATAAGTATATATTCATTTTTTCATTATTTCAAGAAAATTTGATATTTTTTTTAATCTTATGATCCTGCACACGTGTATAGTGAAATGTTATTTTGAAATCTATAGTGTGAGTTTTAACAATGCTACACCAAAAAAAAAGTAAATTTCTTTTCAACAAAGCATAATATAATAATACAAATTAACAAATGTTTAAATATTTTTATTTTTATTATTCAATAATTGTAATACTGAATATTTTTTTTTTTACTCTTATTACTGTTATTATTATTTTAATTTTTGTCACCTTTTGCTTTGTTAAGTGTAACTCATAATTTCTTTTAAATACTTTGGTACTTATATTTTATGATAGCTACCATTTGAGTTAATTTTCTTACTAGTCATATAGTTGTACAGTTTAGTAACATTGAGACTGATTTTCTCAAGACCAGGTTTCCATGCATCTTAACTTGCAATGCTCGCATCTCTGGATCTACTTATCCTTAGAACAACCAAATTAAAGCTTATAATGTAAAGTTAAAATATGTTATCTCAATCTTTGATTTTTCCAACCATGTAACCTACTTGTGGTGGGACTTCACATAATAATTGGCACCAAATATATCAAGAGCTAAGGACAGATGGATGGCATAACAAATGATGGGGGAAAAAGGAATGGCTAATATATGCAAGCAATGGCAAAACATAACTGCAACGAAATTGAATTGAATATACCACTGAAGACCGTATACAAATCAAATCATAACCTCTATCATTAAAGATTTTCTGGTTAAAAAATAAATCTACTGTATTTCTCAAAGTATTTCTTCTGCATTTTGGTGACAGCAAACTGCTCTCCTTGTTGAATGGCCTTTTGACACAGTCTTTGTACTTCAGAATTTGCTCTGTATTTAAGACTCAAGTGATGAGAAAAATAAACCAGCAACATTGCAGCCTCCATTGGACAGGGGAAACTATGTTCCTGAAAGTAAAACCAGAGGTAGAGATGATAAGAGGTAATAAGGAAAAAATCATAACTGGGTCCTAAGTCTCCCACAACAGCAGGAGTTTACCGAAAATCAGGGGACAGCCTCCTGCAAGCAAGCAAGAATCTTCCGGAAAATAAAATCTCCTGGAAATTCAAAATACAGGCCTCCCTCTAATTAAAGACCACTCCTCTTAAACACCACCTCCAATAAAAGACCACTTTTCTATGGTCAAAGATGACAAATGTCGTTTATCGTCATTTATCTAATTAGACAAGAGACCATGGAAACTCTGGTGGAAAAGATGAGACCTATATTCTGCATGTTTTTACTACTTTTAATTATTGTCTCACAGAAGTCAGTGCCGATCGTATCACCATGCGCAGCAAAATAAAATTACATTTAACCAGATTTCCTGGAAGTAACGTCTTCCAACTTTGAACCCCTGCACTAAGGATTATGAAGCTTATATTAATGAGAAGAAGCTTTAATATGTTTATATTTATGACTGAATATTTTATTACATCAGACCTACCTTCATGTTATCTGGTATCCCTTCCAGTGCATCAAGAATTTTTGCTTGCTCTTTTGTTAGCATTGCCAATGTAACTGCAGGGTGTGCATACTTTTCATCCAGTGGGTAATCATCCCATTTTTCTGGCAGGTCATACCTTTTAATATCCTGTAGCACTATTTCAGTGTTCTGATTGGTAGACAAATTACTCTGTGATTCTGCATCAGCATTCTGATTGATGGACATATTACTCTTTAATTTCTCTTCAGTGTTGTCATTGGTCGACAGGTTAGTCTGTAATTCTGCTTCAGTACTCGCCATCAGGTCACCACCTCCTTTTGTTTCAGTTTGATTTGATGATGTATTAATGTTAATGTCATGTGACTGATTATTGTATTTCTTTTCAGAGTCTTGAGAATTGCTTGCTGTCTGAGAACTACATGCATCTTGTGTAGTTTCAATATTATTAGTACATGTTAGTTTCTCTTCTAGTGAAATATTTCTTGTGTCAACTTTAGATTCACCAACTGGTTTTCTACTTTCTAAACCATTGTTAGCATCATCTATTATGTCAGCATTCTGGATTCCTCTACATGGATCCACTAAATGTTCATTGTGTCTACTAAGCAGCTTACTAACAGCCTCCTTGATATATTTCAGACCATTTCTTAATTTCCACAACTGAAAATGAGGACCTGACAATAACACATTTGAAATATCAAACAATGTTGACAGCAAGCTTCCAATGTCTGTCTGTTTCTCTGGGATGTACTGGCCTGACTTGTCTGTGGATATGATGACTGCATCTTTGGTTTGGGTTTCTTCAAGCTTACTGTCAAGCACCGTAGCATTTGAGTTACGATGAGACATGCTGTAGCCCCACCAAACATTGTAGAGCACAGAACAAGTAAAGTACCCATACAAGCACCTGCCCTCTAAATCTTCTATTGCTTCATAATTTTGACTAAAACCACCATAGCTTTCCATTTGACCTGCAGGAAAATAAAACACACATCACCAATTCATCTATACTGTACTAACTTACTAATATTAACAATGATGGAAATAAAAAGTTTAATAATAATGATTTGCTCCTAACATTACAATTTGTTTTGTGTTCCAAAAATCCGGCCCGAAATCGCTAAACGGTGAGAAATCGCTGAAAATCAGCCCTTTTTGAGCAGTTTTTTTAACGTATCTTTGTTAATATTAGACCGATTTTTTTGGCAGTTTTTGAAACTTGTTCCTTATTTATTCAGCTATAATGTCATGTTATTTTTAATTTTAAAATCAATGAGGTGTCGTCGGAATCTTTTTTTTAAGCCAAGTCAGTTGGCGATCGCCCAGTGTATTAACTCCTATCTGTTTACACAATTTTGCGATCATGTTTACAAAAATCACTCTAACTTCTGAACCAGGGGGCCGATTTTAACGGCAGTTTCGGTATGTAAAATAGACTAATCAAGCTGTCTGTTAAGCTAAAAATCAATTTGATTAGATGAGAGGTCTCGTCGGAACGCCCATTTCTTTAGAGACATTTACTCGATCTGACACACATCGACTAATGGTAAAGGATAGGCGGCAGTTCTCGCCGATAGGCCTCGCCTATAGGCGGCTCGTGCTGGTGTAAAGTTGACAGAAAAACAGCGATTTCTCAGCTAATACTTGCATAAAGTTTACTACGGTCCAACGTGGTTGCGTGAGCTACACTGTGTGGCGGAGAGATTAAGATGGCGTGATAAGAACTCTACGCACTGAAATTAAATAGGTTAAAAAAACAAAACAAATTGTAATGATAATTCTGGTCTTCTTAGATTTGAAATAACATTTACAGAATGTAGGTTTTATTATTTTTTTAACAAGTTTAAACAGATTTAGAATTAAAACGCGTAAAGCATCTAATAACAGACAAATAAAATTTGAAAAAAACATGTGAAATGCCTAAATATGGTCATGATGACATCACATCATGACCAAATATAGGCACATCATGACTATATATGGACATACAACAGTTTTTGTCAAAGAAAATTTGATAGTCTGGACACAGCTTAGGAATAATTTTAAATTACATTGACTAAAATACTGCAGTAGAAACGGTTCAATAATTTAGTTTTTTCATTAGCCATCTATGGCTGCTGTCTCCAAGAGTAAAAAAAAAAAACCTAACAAACAGTCTAGTAACATCGTTTATGTATATTAATTGCACTAACAATAGGATTACGTTACAGGGCAGAACTAAATAATAAAGGATAATAATAATTGATAATTGTAGAATTAAAATATATGAAACTTATGAATGACATGATTTGACGTGTCCCACGTCATTATCAGGTAATAATGCTTATTCTACTAACGGTTTAAATACTACCAGTCAAGTGTAAGACACAACAAGCAAGTCATGTATATAGAGGTCAGGAATATTATGATAAGTCATGTATATAGGAATTAGAATGAGAGAGTGATATTGTAATGAGTTGTTTGTTTGTTCAGTGACAGATTTCCCCATGCAATGTAGAGGGCTTCTTTTATTTTAAGTTAATAAGTATTGTGGGCGGAGTCAAGAAAAGTGAAACAGTCTGAATTAGATGTGTTTTGATATTTTACAGTTTTAGTTTTGAAGATGTTGAAATATATGTGATGACTTGTTCCGAACTAAATTCTTCTTAACTAGAATTAAAATAGCATAAAAGTATGCTAATTGTAATAACACTGCTAATTGTAATAATGTTGGTTAAATTGTGTAGCACATATTAACTCAGATATTAAATAGCTATGGTAAAAAATGTTCAAACCTTTTGTGAAAATGAGTCCAAATATAACTTTTGCAATTTCATAGTAGCCATCATTGTAGCAGAGTGTAACCGCCTGTAACCAATGCTCAGAAGCCTTCAATGGACAGTCTAACATGATTGACAGCTGACCTAAGGTCACATCAATAGCTACTTGCACTAACACCTAAAAGAAACAAAAAACAGTATACTTATAGGTTGATGCTAAGCTTCCAGTGCTGTAGCCTACGTAAATTCAGCAAAGTGCCTGAATTTACTTCAAAATACAAATTCTGATTGGATGTTTATTGTGCAAATGCAGGTCATACATACTGTACCACTATGATTATACTCATAGTGGTATTCATCCATTTGTATGCCAATACTATTGGCATTAGGGAGCTTTTGATTGCACAACAACAGTAAAGCCTAGGACATAATGGAGTCATATAAAATCTTCTGAGCAGCATTTAAATTCATTTAGTTTTTATGTTAGGCCATGATTTAAGCCAAATATATTTTATGCATAAAAAACAGGATGCCCAACAACAATTTTTTTGCAGGTTCATGTTCTCATCTGACTTTAAAGCTCCCTAGCAGAAGCCACCAAACGTCTTCTTTATTTCTTATTAAATGTTCTAGCATCTTGTTCAACTCAACAAGCACAAAATGTAAAACTTTAATTATTTTTTTAAGCTACTTTTCAATTTTTAACTGCTTTTAATGTTGTTTTAATATTTTACCACCTCTTGGTATTTTAATTTTAACACGCCTTTAACTACATGTACATATTAACATTTTATCAATGGTTGTAATCAGTGCAGTGTGTGTATGTTATATTGATTATTTTAGTAACAGATTTTGGACAATGTTATGTAATATAATGCAAGTATAATCAACCAAAGTTTCAAACAATGTTTATAATATTACTTTTGTTTGACAAATAAATAAATACATCTCTTGAATCTTGAGTTCTACACTTCTTGAAATGTGTACTGAAATCCACATAAAAGAGTGTAATGACAGCCATCATGATTAAATATTAGTATAATAAGTTTATTTCAATGACTAAATCTCAAAAGGTTGAATCACAACAAGGTACCTGAGAAGTCATCATAGTTCCACCGATAGATTGTCGACACCTGAGGAGATTATCATACACAGATTGCCAGGAGAAGTCATCTCCAACATGCTTCTTGTGACGCAGCTTGTGGATGATGGATTGAAGACAAGGTCTGCCATCTATTTCAAAAAAGGGCCACCTTGAGAAATCAGTCACTACAAATAGATTCAAGTTGTTAACATATATTTTAACAGATGGAAGATTCAATATACAATAATATTTAGACAGTTACATGTGATAAGACAAGTGCACATTCATAGACCTTTGACCATTCATTAACTCCAAACAAGGCCTCAATTTTAAGTCCCATGAACCAGTGAATTTTCACTAAGCCACGCAAATTTAACAGTGTTAAAACATATGCAAACATATGCAAGTGGGTCAGCACGTGGGCTTGTTAGACACACGCTATTCCTGGCTCTGTCATGATTGGTCAGTTGTTTCGACTGATTTGAGAATCTGGAAACTTCCATTGAGGCAATGCATTACATCAGCACTAACCAAAGCATATAAAGCATAAGGATGATTAGATTTAAAAATGTCCAATTAGTAAAAATACTAGCATAGACAGATAGGTATATAACATAGATAATTATTATTAAAATACTGACCATTACTGTACTTTAACATATCCACTGCTGTAAATGTGATTTTTGATTCACCAAGGATAAATGAATTATCATCTTGCAAGCATTTCACAAGAATTTCATGAACATCCAATAGGATTTCAAAATGCTGGAAATGAGATAACAAATGAGAACAATGTTTATATAAAAGTGTAATCGGATTTTATAAATATTTTTCATATTGAATTTATACAGTATTAACATATTGTTGATTTGATTATTGTGTTGTTAATATTTAGTTATTTCTTTAGTCCTCATAAAAAGAATTATTAGTTCATCACCATATCCAGGAAGAAAAAAAATTACAAAGTAGGAATATGATCAGTCTGTCATCCTATCCAGCAAGAAAAAACTGACAAGGGAGGAAGGTAGGTTTTTTGCTGCAAACATCTTGGTGAATAATGACTAAAAAAGAAATCTAAAATGTGTTAAAATAAAGGTAAAAAGTTAATTACCAATTTATAAAAACTGATTGAAATACTCATAAATAACAATTATTTTCACTCTTCTCAATTGTAGTATCAGTAAGGATCAGTAACATAAGAGAAAACAATTAAAACATTTTTACCTGCATATCTTTGATTGTTTCAATAACTGATCGAGCTTCAGTCCAATCATTAGTCTGTAAACATTCAAAAACAAAAGAAGAAATCAACATGGTTGCCACATCCATCTCGTTTGTAATCGTAGCAACCTTGAGGGCAGTTGTCAGGGATGGTCTGTCACCCTTCCTTGCTAGAAGTCGGACAGCTGAGGCTGGCTCACCAATTTGCATATAGCTACAAAATAGTAAAATATCAATATACTAAATTCTTTGCAATAATTAGATCACATAATAATGAAATAAATAAAAATAACAACGAAAAAGAGCAGTCTCTCCATAGAATGCGTACTTTCGCCCTGTGCCTGAATAACAATAAGCAGGCTGTGTACAATGGATGAAATTGCAGCATACCCTCAAAAAAATACTGGGATCACCTGTCGTTTTCAGGTACGTTATTCTTTGACCTCCTCTTTCGAAAATTGAATGGTGTTTTTCTTCGATAATTATGTACCAATCCACTAAATTTTATGATGATCCAATCATTAGTTTTTGCATATTTTGCTAACTGACAGACAGACATCACAACAGACATCAGTTTCTATAAATTTCATATACATTTCAAAGACAAGAAATTAGGAAATTTAAATAGATTAATTTACTAAACCATGAGCCATAATGTACCATTGAAATTAACCAAAGAACTCATAATGAAATAAACTATACCATATCTCCCTTAAGCAGATTCTCTGAACTTGGGAAGCCTGTGGTATGGCGCTACAGAAATGGAAATTGAAAACATTTTGTATAGCGACTTACACAATTCAAAATCATCTCAAAGTGCTTAAAGAAAAAGAAAAAAAACTGTAAAAACCCAAGAACTATCCTAAAACTAACCAGTAACAATTTACCAGAGAATCAAATTAGGAATGAACCAGTATCACTACACGGTTCTCGAGCAATTTGAGACATGTGGCCAACTGGAACAGTACTCACAGGTACTCTAGTGATACAAGTGACAGATAGTCGCTATCCAATAGCAAGACAAAAATGGAAAAAAAAATAAAGTGAAGGTAAAGTGGCGGGTAGTAAAGGATGCTGTCTTCCATTTTCCATTTTCAAGGTCCTTTATTAACCCAATAACTATATTCATGTTTTTATAACAGAAAAAAAAAATAATCTACATTGTTAAGAAAAATCGAATGACCGAAAACATTATAATCAAACACTTCAGTAAATATAGTGTAAACTAATAATTTTAAACTTAAATTTACCATTTAGCAGCTTGCTCATAGTTTCCGTCTGATTCTAAAGTCTGGGCCCAAACTTTGTACAAATCATGTAATACTGGGTCTGACGGTGACAGACGAACACATGCTAAGCTTAAAGCTTCCCTACAAAATGAGAACAAAATATACATAAAGGAACCTCAAAGAGCACAAATGAAGTTATAAACAAATTGATGCAAGCTTTTGTCTACAAATAATGAATGTTTATCAGTGCAATGGAAGAAATATTGAAAAGATTGTCTGTTCCATTAAATGAGCTGGCGCCAAGTCGAATGGATTGATATTTTACTGAATGAAAATTTTCTTTGCATTGCACAAATATGAAACATTCATTATTTTGCTTTAAAAATCACCGAATATAGATCTTAATTTGTTATTTTATGGAGAAAAAAAATATTTAGGTCTACCTTTATTCTACATGGAACAGTCCATGTTGCTTCAGCCAATCAAAAATTGTGTTAGAGGGCATGCAATGGGACAAAGCAAATGGAACAAAAATACTAATTTTTTATAATGAGTGATTCAAATCAAAAGGTGTGATTGTTTTGCCATTAAATGGTGTAAAGACCCTATGTTATGTGATGAAAAAGCTACCAATTAAAAGACAAGGACCTATTTAGGTGTGTAGTAATGAGTTTATATACACATTTTTCTTAATATTTAATGTATATTTTGTGTCTACCCATTCTTACACTACATTAAAATATTTAATAATTATGTAATACTACATTATGCTGGATTACCTGTGTCTCTTGTGCTGACACAGAACATCAATTGCCTCATACACCTTATGGCAGGCAAGGTAGTAACTGACTGCTTTGGAATAGAATTCCAAATGTACAAGTTGCTTAGCGTAGGCTTCCGCAGTCGCCAGGAACACATCATGACCACCTAGTTACATAATCGATATATGTTACCTTTAAAAAAAAACCTCATCCAGCAGCAGTTGATCAATTAAATCATAAAAATAAAGCAGTGTATACATTAAGACTTGATAAAATGCATATTTGTTTAGTCATTTAAGTGAGGGCACACTCCAATCCTATGTTATTGATAGGCAGATACCAGTTTGGCCAGGCACGCACTGCATTTTTTCAAAGGTTGTATGACTGTCTTACAACAAATATATCACCACCATCATCAGATTATTAGTGGTGGCAGTTTGAGCTGCTCATGTTGAATACCATTTGTTGCATGTGCCGCATTGTGTTGCTTTACCACTGAATTTCAGTCGGTTGATCATGAGTTGCTTATGAAGTATGAGCAAAACCCTTAAAATGTAGACTAAGATCAACTAATGATATTGAGACTAGCTGGCAAGCACCTTATAGTACATGCCACAACCTTACCTAATGTTGACATCGCCACCAAGTGGTCTGTGAGTTGTTGTTTTTCAGTTGCTTTGTGGAGTACTCCTACAATATTTCCTTTCCAAAGCTCCAAGCAGTAATAAGACTCGGGGTTGCCTGCATCTACATGGTACTTTTCTATCAAGATAAATCACAATATGTAGAATTGATACATGAACAGATTGAAAGGTTTTAAGTAAAAATTATAATAATGCATTTAATTACACATTTCACCACTTTGAGACAATTTTTAATTTTGTTGTTTATCATGTGTATATATTTTCATATTTTCTATAACCTGTCTGATATTTTCCAAAAACCGAAAGGTCCACTGATTAATCTCAGATAAGAAAGTATAATACATACTCCAAGTATTGAAATACACGCCATCGTGTTGGGATTCAATATTTCGACAATAATTATGTCATCATCAGGAATCATAATTAATGTCGAAATATTGAATCCCAACACGATGGCGTGTATTTCAATACTTGGATTATGTATTATACTTTCCTGTCTGATATTTTGTTCATACATTTTTATTGATGCATTAGGATTATGACAATAAGGAAAGACTTTTTTTATTCTTTGTTTCGCGAACTTATTTTGTTTAAAGATCATTAGAGTAGGGTGAAAAAAAAATTAAAATAAAGTTTGGTTTTCTTATTTAGCAAATAGTTTTAAAAAAATATCCAGGCGGAGGAGAAAATAAAAATAAAATTTTATCGGTAAATGTAAATAGTGTTATAATGGGATGATTAAATGCTTTAAATTTATATAATCAGGAAAAAATATACATATCTTATCTTTGGAGATTTCAAGGCAGCGGAGGGCATAATAAAAATAAAGAAAAACTTAATTTTTTTCTGAAATTTCCATTTTTTCGTGACAGCGGGTACGCTAATTTACCAAAAATCAAATTCTATTTTTATTCAAATTCATCATTATTTGCAGGCGGCGGTGAAAACAAAACAAGGTATAAAAAAGTCTTGCCTTTAAAGTACATTATATGTTATTGCTCACCATTTACTTTACAAACTATTATACAACTAATGTAAAAAATGGCTAAAGGAGGTGATGCCAAATTAAGTGGTGTGTGGAGTAATTGTATATAATGAATATGCTTCTAAAAAAGGTCTCAGATCTATTTACAATTAGGATGCTTCTTCTCTCTTTGAGAATCCCTTTAAAATATAATGCCATCAAATTAGGTAGGGTAAAACATCTTTCCTATGATATTTTCCTGACACAAAACACATCAAAATCAAAAAAAAAATTATGGAGCAGATTGTATTTTAAACAAAATTTGCTTGCATTCAAGCACAATAGTCACAAAATACAGTTTAATGCATATACCTTCTTCTCTGAACATTGTATAGACTTCCCTTCGACCGGCAAACAGACCCAGATGAGTATGATCACCTGAACCTGCCTGGATGTCTGATGAACTACGACCTGGAGCACCTAGTGGTTAATTAAAATATTCAAATTATTACCAAATGCCAGATCTATACATAAGAAAAATTCTGAATGTATCATTAATCGGCAATTCTGTGACTTTGTAACACTACGAAATAAACTGACATTTACTGTTTATGTCTTAGCTAAGAGTGAATCATATTGATAGTGGCAATTATTTTGTTTTGATTTATCATATTTATTACGAGAATTATTCCATGCCATGCATGCGGTCAAATGTAAAAATTGGAATGTTCAACATGAGCAATGGCCAGAGTGTTGGAGAGATCTTGAAGTATACATTTTCACAATAATCTGAATCAGAATTTTGCCTGATAAAAAATTAAAACCTAAAATTGTGGGAATTGATCTTAAATATTTATTCTCTGTCAAAACCTATGAAATTGAAAATTGAAAATAATTTTTATGAGAAAAAAATGTCCATGTCAATTATTGGACAAGAAATTTCTGTATTCTTTTTGATAGACCCTTAAGTTGGCTGGTAATCAATTCAAGAACTTTTGTGGCAAAATGAGTGTACCTGTAAATCCAAATTTTTCTACATGTTTCTGGTTTAAAGATAACTTATTTGATCCCTTTATGAGCTATTCATATACAAATCCAATTGAATTTGAGATTTTTCTTGATGTTTTTGGCAGAATGTACATCTATAAATAAACGAACGAAGATGAGCTTATTAATATGAGAGGTGGTAGGGTTGGGTGTACCATATTTCATTTCAGCAATCGTAATACAGTCTTCCTGTAGGCAAGTCTTGCCTCTGTTATCCAAACTTCCACTGACAGGGAACAATGACTTCACCTTCCTCCTTTTTCTACCATCAGCTATCAACAAAAATGAAAAATGAAAATAATTAGTAGTCCTAGCCTGATATTGACAATTTTCGCTAAATTTTAACCTGGCCTTACATGGGCTAAGGTAAGAAAATGTTAACAACATTCTACCCTCTAACAAACTACATACAGTATGGTAG